ATATAATATTACATTGTAATATTTCTTAACAGAAAAGACTAAAATACCGTGCACTGAAAGAATAAATATATAAGTAGGGATTGTTTTGTTTGGGTTTTTTTAATGAAGAAAATATGTACCTAAAATGCAGTAGATACAAAAATAAACCTTGGATTTTTTTTTAAAGAGCAAGACAGGTATCATTTTGTATAAATATTTTTAAAAACCAGCCCCTAACCAGATTTATTCTGTACTTCACTTATGATTCTGGTGCAATTACTTGGTTCCTAAATTAATGGCATGCATTTTTATTTTTTTTTTCCCACATCCAGGTTCAGGCTCTTGGTAGAAAAAAGAAATGAAGGGGTGTAGTAGGAAGAATACCTCATTTCTTAAAGTATTTCTTAGAGAGAGTTAATTTTACATGCAGAGTTCATTCATGTTGGCTTAGCAGCGAGCACTGCTCAGTCCACTGAAAACAGATCAAAGAAGTAGCCATAAACAGAGGTTAACGATCAGATGCTGGAGGAGCTAAATGAGGAAACTGGGTAGAGGGGTGCTACAGGGGTTTGTTGGTGTTAAATTAGTCAACACATAGTCTTTATTAATCTAAACCAAGAAATAAATAGCATTTTAATTACATTTATCAACTGGCACAAAATTCAGAGCTCCTCTGAAGACAAAGAATTAGAAGATCCAGCATGTATGGGGGAACAGTCATTGGATTAAATTTAGTCTAATGCTGAGTTCTACTCACAGGAAAAAATTGTAGAAAAGTAGTGCAGTAAACCCTGAAAAAGGCTGAGGACTTGGTAACGGCGTGTTTTCTTGCACTGTGGTTTCGTTGCAAGCTTTTACTGTATTTTGGTTGGTGAAAAAAGTTGTTGGAGGAATGGCCAAAGCATTACATGATGGAAACTGCAGCTGGAACAGCGAGCCAGGAAAGTATCCACAGGCAAATCCCAGTTGCATTGCCACTGAGATATGGCCGGACAAAACGGTTTGCAAAGAAGGGAGGAAACACGATAGAGAATACTCAAGTGCTAGGATTTGCGCTTCTCTGACTTCTTAACGTGGTGGGTGGGATGAAACTGGCATCTGCTTTTTCGTTGTTTTCACATGGGTATGAAAGGACTCATTTCTGTCCCATCAGAGCCAAGGTGTTGAGTTTCGGCTCGTAATAAGATCCTGCAGAGAATGAACAATCTGTTTAATTTTATAAGCAACCTTCTGTACCAACTGTTACTTCTCGCATACTTGTATTCTCGTTCTTCATGCTTTGTAATGTACTCCTTTATAATAGTATAATCCATTCCTTTAAGCACAAACAATATTTACCCAGAAGCTGATCACAGCAAGTGGAAACACGTACCTTTGGGTCTCTCAAACAGACATCAACCACTTCAGTGCTTTGTGGTACTGTGCCCTTACCATACCCTGCTTTTATTGCAGGGTTTGGATTAGAAAAATGGAAGCTTTTTATTTCTTTTGTATTGCATCTTACCAGGTAACCCCAGCCTTAAGAACAATTAAAAAAAGGAAATTTTCCTGTATTTTCTATTAAATATTTCCTTAACGCAGTTATCTAGTTTTCTGTTCCCAACTGAACAGTTCTGTAATGGTGTTGGCATTGCAGATACTGCAGTATTGGAAACACTGGTTCTTATGTGTACTTCATAGCTGGTGAAATGCAAGAACTGTGTGTACAAACAAGCTCAATTTTAATATTTCTTTGATTATTTTTTATACTGTTCTCTTATCATCTATTTTTTATTTCCAGTCCTCTCAAAATAATTTTCTAGGTTGCCCTTAAAGAGGTGTGGGGGAAAAGCAAATAAAATTTTTAAAAAGCTGATTGCTGATAGATTCAGGGAATCTTGCGTGCAACCTTCCTGGTTAATCTTGTGGTATAAAAGTTACGCAGCTCTGAGAGATTGTGCAAAGCTTAGCTACAGCTTAATTTACAGTCTTATTGCCAATATGTAGTGCTAATTGAGGTCTGACACAGTGAGTGGTCACCTGAACCTAAAACTTGCTATTAGTTTACATATCAAAAGCATACCTAGAGTAAGCCTCCAAAGGATGGAGGGCGGGTTACTGGGGAGGAGTTAGGGATGAGGACTTCAATGTTTTGGTGGTGTCTACGTAGAAGTCCTGTGACCTCCGGATCCTGCTGCAGTCTCTGCCTGTGACGTGCCAAGTTCTTTGGGAGCTCTGCTTGGCTCCCATCCATTTGTGCACAAATCTCCCTGGTCCCTCGGGAGAGGAGAAAGTTCTGCAAAAGCTGGCATGAAGTTCTGCATCAGCTGGGACTCACTAGCATGTCTGAGGACTCATGGATGGGAAAATAAGTGTCTGTTCTTCTTTTAATAAACTCGCTGTAGCCGTATCTAACATGCATATTTTTTTGGTGTGTCTGTCAGTGTAAAGAGCCCCAGGCTGCTTGAAACTGCCCCATGCCACTTCGTTCTTGTCTTTTGTACTGCCTCAGTTGTTCGTGCAGCTGGGCAGTAACTTTGTTCTGCTGGAGCAGGGGAAACTACATTTATAATTTGTATATGTATTTATAATATTTATCAGTTTGTTTAAGCAGCGGGCTATTTTTCAGCTCCATCAATTGCTTTATTCATGACACGGCCTCCCATGCGGCTCTGCCAGTGTTCTGGGGAGCCAAGGCCCTCGGAGGATGAGTGCAGCCTCCGAACTCCTGGACTTGCAGTGGTTGCAGAGAGGAAGGAGCTGGTCTGAAATGGAAATGGGAGCGTGTCAGAACCCCTTGCTGCTTATTCACCCCTCAGAGATTACTACTGTGCATGTCCCTCCATGGAGAAAGTTACATGGCCTTCAGAATGGCTCTTGGATTTACTAACTTGAGAGGGAACGCTGGGCTAGTTAGCTAACTTCATTGAAGTATGTTTTGTAATACATCATAGTAGTATACAGTGGTTGTGGTTGCATTAAGGATATTGAAATATAATTTTTCCCCTCCTGCTGTTACTTTCATGAGCAGTTTTTAAAATCTGTTACCAAACAACAATATTGGCTTCTAAAATCAGGCTGTCCTGTCTATCAGAAGTGTAGACTTGTCTGTAGTAAGAGCTAAAGAGTGGTGTAAGTTGCTGTGTGTGAACTGCAGCGCTGCAGGGTGAGGGTTGGCTCCTGGGCGATTACTGCGAGGCTGTTGGCATGTGGCAGTGCCATCTTGTGATGATTTAGCCTTGTTCAAAGCTCTCTGGTTCCTAAAAGTGAAGCAGGGTAAAACAGCCCGATTGTGGAGTGTCACTCAGCTTCATTTAGTTTATGGAGAGTTTTTTAGCCTGGTTTCTGAAGGAAATGAACCATGCCAGCTTTCTGTCCCTACCCCTGTGAATCTTGAGCCTCTTGGCCACTGTGAGGAAAAAATTATAAAATCTGAGAACTTCCGTCTTAAATAGGTGCCCAGGACAGGAAGGACGTTACTCGAGTTCCCTCCCAGGAAAAAGGTGCAGTGCATGGTGGTTAGACTTGAGAAAATTAATATAGGAGAAGCAGATGTAATGAATTAATGAACTACAGAAAAGCTGTACCCAGAGCTGAAGGGAAGTTGTAGGAAACTCCAGACTTTGTTACTGACGGTGATCACGGCACTGCTTGTTTTTGTTTTCCTGATGGCTTTTGATGCTCCCAGCATCACAGCCTCACGCTGTAGCAAGTGTTTAGTAACCAAGTGGAAAGGCTTTTAGGAATGCAAACCTGAGCCGATCCTGCTGGTGGCCGGGGAGGCTGCAGCGGCGCAGGGAGCAGCCAGGCTCCATTTTGGATGCCCGACTCTGTTGCTATTCTGAGTTGCTCTGTGCTGCGCAGTGCTGCTTAACTTCCTGCTGTTTTCCAGCTACTTAGATGATCAGCCCTCGGCTTTTTGTAAAGCAGCTGCTTTTGTGGCATGCGTCCTTTCTGTCAGGAGAGCACGCAGTGACAAAGCCGCGTTTTATTCCCTGGTGAGGGGCGTCTTTCTGTCAGTGTTAGAGCCCAGCACCAGGAGAAGGCAGTGGTCAACTGCTGCAAACCATGGCTGTGTAACTCGGACATCCAGTGTCAGAAGCTGGGGGAGGTTGAAGTTAGGATGGAAAAGGAAAGACGAGGGAAAAGAGAAACTGGCTTGCTCCTTTACAAAACAGCAACCAAATTACCTTCTCTACTGCCTTTTAAATGCCTTTTTGAAACACATGCCATTCTTGTAGCTCTCCTCTAACGGCTGCTGCCGCTCGTTTTTCCATGAATCACTTGCTGCTAGGTGGAAACCCCGTCATTTGCAAAATGTGAAGTAAAACATCTTGAGTTGTAAACAAAAGACTGAAGCTTGTTTCGGTTTTGTTTTTCTTTTGTGTTTTTTTTATTATTATTTTTCCCCTCTCCTGTGGTGTAACACGTTTCTCGAGCACCTGTGGAAGATCAGCATTAGAATGGTCAGGTTGATGCTTTACTCTTGTGAAGAAACATGCTTGTCTTGGGGTTTTACTGATTTTTGCCGTTCTGATGGAGGTGAGGGAAAGATGCTGTTAAAGCTTCAGGTTAAGTGAGCCTGAGACACAAAAGGAGTACATGGGGTAAAGAAATCACTCATTTGAGTAATGCTGTGCTTTCTTGGTTCATCTCATCATATCTCATTGCTAGTTAAGTTCATGTTTGGGAATAAACATTTTAAATTTCTCAGAGATTTCAAAAGCCCTGATAGAGCAAACCTCGGATTTTTAGATGGAGCTCCTGCTGGAGCCTGTGCATGGTGTAGGTAATTGGCGAGAGGGACCACTGAGAGATGCTGTGTTGTGATATCTGTGTACCTGGTGATGATCAGTCCTTGCTTGGAAAATGTGGGATGGCTTTGGTACAATGCTGCTTGTAAATACTAATGTAAATTTGCCAGGCTTCTTTAGGTTGCTGCAATATATAGAAAGAAGAATCTTCACCGTAATCTTTGTTTTGCTGTTGCTTGGATGCATTTAAGCCTGTAATAAAAACACTGACTTAATATTTTCTTTCAGTCTCCAGAGGGTGCTGAAGGCAAGGATGCAGCAAAAGTAACTAAACAAGAGGCAAGTATATATATATTTTTATTATTATTTTGGCATGCAATTATTTAACTAGAGATCTGCAGTCTTGCATATCGGAAAGCTGTGCATTGCTCTGTCACTTCTAGTGCAGTATTTTCAGTGGGAATAATGACAGTAAACCACATTTGTAGCTTGTCTGGCATCAATTTTTTTGTGTACTGAGGATTCATACAACATATTAGTATAAAAATAAATTTCAGGAACACTTAGGGCTTTGATAGACAAGCTCTGGTGGATCTTGTGGCAGCCATGTAAGATGCTGCAGCCTGGAGCTGTTGCTCCGTCACTAGCGGGTTGGCAGAAGAGGGTTAATGCACAGACCTCAGCCACTCTACTTTAGAACTATTCTTAGCTTGACTGACTGATGGAAGGGTGTCTTGAATTAAGATACCAGGCTCTAAACTAGAGCAGCTGACACATTCGTGTGTTTTCTTTGTCTGAATTTGTTTTAAGGGCACAGTAACTTCTGTCAGAGAAGCAAGGAGACAGCTGGTGGTACCTTGATCTCTGCAGTAAAGTTTGTTGGTTTGGTTGTCGCAGCCCTTTATGTGAATTTAAAACAGAGGTAAAGAATGATAAGGATTAATTTTATGAGGTTGTCATCTTCTGTGGCAGACAAAGTTAAACCAGGACCTTGAATAGGTGAATATTCAATTAACAGTTAATTGCTCTTGTAAATCTTTTAGCATATTTGAACAGGAAAAATAGTTTAATGTTGTCTTTCTGAATTGAGAAGTTGGTTGTTGCTTAGTCTGGCAGAAAAAGAGGGTGCAATGGAAATGTCAAAATATTTCAAACAATCGTAATGTTTACAATAAGCTCCTGAAAGAAATAGAGTAAAAAGGAGGTCTGAGCAGGATGGATTTTGTTACCTCAGTATCTTCCTATGGAATTTCCTAGAAAGCAAATTAGTTTCTTTTTCATAAGGTATGAAAAGGCTGACTAAATCATCATAAAAATATGATCTCCTTTGCTCTGAATGACTGTTCTTCTCTGTCCAAGTTTAAGTATTATTTCATCGCGAACCAGAAAAGTGAAGGTTCCTTCCTCTAAAAATTTGAGACCTGATTGCTGGTATAAAGAAGAAAGACTGAAAAGCTTACAGAAAGCTCTCTGGGTAGAGCTGACTCTGAAATATGAGAGCTCTTAGAGCAGTCCTCGGTCAAGGTGAGATAACAGCGGCTGTTGATGCTACAGGAAAGAAAACACTCAGTAGGTACACCTGTAGCTCTCGGTGTGTGGATGAGGAAGATACCTGTAGGACTAGATGAGAAACTGTGAAAGCTGTTGGAATAGGGAGAACTTATGTAGGAAGGGTGGCTTTAGTCTGAACCCAAATTGACTCATGTGGATGGTACTGAGGAGATCTGAATTATTTTGAACTAAACATCTGAAAAGAATGGGAATTTCTTGAGAGCGCATAGGGTGCAGTCAGAGCTCCCTATCAGGGAGATAACACACAAGCTGTAAAAGTTTGTATCTGAAAAGGTAAAGAACGGTCTTGAGAAATAAAGCCCTGTTTAATCCATGCCTGTGAAAACAGGCAGTCAAACCGAAATACAGAAGCTGCAAATCTAAATCTGAGCAACTTTGGACTATCTGACTCTAAATGAAGGCACTGATGTAATGGGCAACTCAGAAACTTGTCGGGACACTCTGACACCAAGGCACAAATTACACAGGGTTGAGAGCTAAATTGCATTAGTGGTAGAAGGGCTTTCTGTTACAAGTCTTTAATATTTCTCTACCTTAATTGTATCAATAAGTATAGGAGAGTCCTTTAGGGATCGCCAAGCCATGTGTAAATGGGAAGTATATAGTGTAGAAACTGTGCCAGGGAGCACCTGACCACAATAATAAAAGTGGCAATGGGATGTTGAGGGCAGAAATAGTGTTAGTGAAGATTTCAGTTACCTTTCAGAGATTGGGTAAAAGGCATGTGCTTGCATTACAAAACCAAAAAAGTTAAAACTGAATGCTTGCTTTCTGGGCGAACAAATCAAAGGACCTATAAAAGGATGATGGGCTCTTTATTTGGTCCTCAGTAGTATGTAGGAGCTACTTAAAAGGGCGGTTGTAAGAGAACTGTTCTGTAGTTATGACCATAATATATTTGGGTTTCTCATCCTTGCAGGAATGTAAGTGCAAATAAACATGGCTATGGTATGGTAAGATTTGATATCAAGAAAGGGAATCTTATTAAAAATGAAAGCCTATTAAAATGTTAGGGAATGCTTTGACTGTCTAGAGCCTAACAATAGTGGCAGTAGAGTCAAGTGTTTATGGATGAGAATCAAAGGGAAAGCAGTTGAGTCAGATACTATGGTGGGAGTTTGTTATAGGCCACCCAACCAGGATGAAGAGATAGATATATATTCCATAGACAGCTGGGAAGTCTCACATTCACTTCCCCTTGTACTTGTGAGAGACTTCAACTTCCCGGATGTCTGTTGGAAATATAACACAGCAGAGAGGGAACAGTCCTGGAGGTTCCTGGAGTGTGTAGAAGATCACTTCCTGACACAGCTGGTGAAGGAACCGACAAGGGAAGGTGCCCTGCTGGACCTGGTGTTTGCAAACAGAGAAGGTCTTGTGGGGGATGTGATGGTTGGAGGCTGTCTTGGGCATAGTGATCATGAAATGATAGAGTTTTCTGTCCTTGGAGAAGCAAGGAGGGGGGCTAGCAGAACTGCCACTTTGGACTTCTGGCAGGCAGACTTCAGCCTGTTTAGGGACTTGGTTAGCAGAGTTCCTTGGGAGGCAGTTCTGAAAGGCAAAGGAGTCCAGGAAGGCTGGACACTCTTGAAGAACGATCTCTTAAAGGCACAAGAGCTTCAGGAAGGGCCGGAAGGAGGACCCAGGGAACTACAGACCTGTCAGTCTGACCTCGGTGCCAGGGAAGGTGATGGAGCAAATAATCCTGAGTGCCATCACACGACACATGCAGGACAACCAAGCGATCAGGCCCAGTCAGCATGGGTTCAGGAAGGGCAGGTCCTGCTTGACCAATCTCATCTCCTTTTATGATGAGATGACCTGCTTGGTGGATGAGGGAAAGGCTGTGGAGGTTGTCTTGACACCGTCTCCCACAGAATCCTCCTGGAGAAGCTGGCTGGGCATGGCTTGGATGGGCATACACTTTACTGGGTTAAAAACTGCCTGGATGGCCGAACACAGAGAGTTGTGGTGAATGGAGTTAAATCCAGTTGATGATCAGTCACAAGTGGTGTTCCTCTGGGCTCGGCACTGGGGTCACTTCTGTTTAATATCTTTATCGGTGACATGGACAAGGGAATTGAATGCTCCTTCAGTAAGTTTGCAGATGACATCAAGTTGGGCATGAGTGTCGATCTGCCTGAGGGTGGACAGACTCTGCAGAGGGATCTGGATGGGCTGGATCGATGGCTGAGGCCAACTATATGAGGTTTAACAAGGCCAAGTGCCAGGTCCTGCGCTGGGGTCACAACAACCTCATGCAGCGCTACAGGCTTGGGGACAAGTGGCTGGAGGGGCCAGGCAGAAAAGGACCTGGGGGTGTTGACTGACAGTGACTGAACATGAGCCAAGAAGGCGTCCTGGCCTGCATCAGGAATAGTGTGGCCAGCAGGGGCAGGGCAGGGATTGTGCCCCTGTGCTCGGCACTGGTGAGGCCGCCTCTCAGATACTGTGTTCAGTTTTGGGCACATCACTCCAAGAAGGACATTGAGGCACTGGAGCGTGTCGAGAGAAGCGCAACAGAGCTGGTGAGGGGTTTAAAGCACAAAAATGATGAACAGATGAGGGAGCTGGGGTTGTTAATCTGGAGAAAAGGAGTCTGAGGGGAGACCTTATCACCTTCTACAACTACCTGAAAGGAGGTTGTAGCCAGGTAAGGGCTGGTCTCTTCTCTCTGGTAGCTGGTGATAGGACAAGGGGAAATGGCCTCAAGTTGCGCCTGGAGAGGTTTTGGTTGGATATTAGGAGGAATTTCTTTACTGAGAGGGTTGTCCAGCACTGGAACAGGCTGCCCAGGGAGGTGGTGTACAAGTAGATGTCGTGCTTAGGAACGTGGGCTAGTGATGAACTTAGTAGGGCTGGATTGATGGTTGGACTCGATGATCTTAAAGGTCTTTTCCAACCAAAACCATTCCATCATTCTTTGAAAAGGAGGAGCTAAAACGTTTGATGATTTCAGGTGGCAGAGAGGCTCTGTGGTACACCATGCTAAAGGCTTGCAGAAATGCAACTTATTTTTCAAAAGGCACCCCCCAAAAAAAACCCCAACCAATCAACCGAACAAAACACAAAACAACCGATCAACCAAACAAAACCCAGAATGGCTTAATAGCAAAATAAGGAAAATTTATTATTTTTGATAGGTGTTTTTTGTATTGATGGAAAACAATAAGGAAAGGAGCAAACCCTCCAGTATGGCAAACACAAAGCTGAGAAACGGTAATGAAACTCCTGCTATGGAGAAGTCTTGGGGAGGTTCTTGCAGTGGAGTCTTTTCTCATGGGTGTCGAGTCTGGAGGACACTCTTTAATTAAGTGTGAGCAAGAACTAGGCAGTATTGACCAGCAATTGCCGAACTATTAAATGCAGTATGTAATTTACTGCTTGCATTGGCCTCAGTGCCAGAGTAACTGAAGGTGATGAAATGCTCCCAGGACTTTAGATAAGAGATTCTCTGGAAAATAGATAAGAGATTTTGGAAAATAAACCCTGTGAGTCTAACTTGCAAAAATATATAAAAAAAACCCCAACCAAACCAAAGTATATGTGGACAAATCTATAATGGGACAGTCAGCACAGATTTTGCAGAGAGAAGTCGTACTTCAGGCAGTTGAGTTGTTTGTGGAAGTCAACAGATACAACAACCATAGCTTGCCAAGTAATATAGTTCACTTGTGAAGCTAAGCTAGCATTTTAATCCAGGGGCTGATCTTCCTAAGAATTGGTAACAGATAAAGATAGGAGAAGAGAGCAGGGAAGAAGTAGTTAATTTTCATAATGGAGGTCAAATATCAGTGGAGTATTGTGAGGATTTGGGTTTGGGTTTGTGCTGCTGAATATGCTCTTTAATGAGCTGGGAGGAGAAGAGTTGGGGAAATGACAAAGTTTGCTGAAGTTTACAAAAAAATACCAAGGTAGTCCTAAGTGAGAGAGACTGAGAAGGCTGTTATGTCTCTGGTAACTAGGTGATAAAATATCAATAGAAATTCAATATGGAGAAATGCACATTAATGCACAGGGGGGAGGGGAAGATGGTGGTCACCAAATCGGCTGTTAATGGGGAGAGATTGTGAAACCACAGTGTATCCTTACTAGAAAATGTCAGTTCTTCTAAACATACAGTAAAAAACACTGGGTTTAACAGGTGTGATAAAATCCCCCGTAACACAGAGAAAGGCAGTAAGGGAGTTATTACTCATGTAACCCAAACCCAAGAGGAATCTCGTGAAAGCAAAAGGCAAGAAGTTTAAAGGAAACGCAGCAGAGGGGGAAGGTTTTGCGTTTTCTTTCCCACAGGGTGCATAATCCTGTTAGGGAACTTATTGCCACAGGATGTTATGGAAACTGAAAGTGTAAACGGGTTCACTAGGTTATTAGACAAATTTATGGAGAAAATGACCCTCAGGGACTATTAAACACATGATGTGGATGTAATATCCAGGTTGGAAAGTTCACAGCTGTAGGAGCTGAAAGTGCAAAGCGTTGTTCTGAGTCTGCTGCGTTTCACAGCCTCTTTCTGTGGGTGTTTGCTGTGGGCAGTGCCCAGTGGACTCTTGGGCTATTCCTGCCCTGGTACAGCTGTTTGGAGGGGGAAAAGGGTTCCAAAAGCACGTTAAAATGTGACCTTTGCTGACCTGACTGCAGTTCCCTCCTTATAATCAGATAACATAAAAGACATACAAACTCTGACTGAAAATTAAAATTACTTACTTGTCAGGCATTTTTAAGGAACTGAGGGTTTATAGTGACTTTCTCACGGCAATACAAGCCTTCTGTGAAAGCAGTCATGGAACAGGAACAGTTGGGGAATAATTCTAATTTAACTAAACTGACATGTTAGCCTTGAAAAAGTGGATGCTAACAAAACACTGCAGTGCCTGAATGCTGAGAGATAGAAATCATCAGTTAAGAGAACAGATTTATACAAGAAGGTGCCTTGAGCCAGGACTCCTTTGGTTACCTCCGCAAGTGAAATGCTGTATTTAACCTGCTGTAAAATAGCGCTAGGCTGCTTAACAAGCAGCTGATATCCGACATGGCCAAGAAAAGAGAGGTTCACTTTGTCTTTTTTTGTTAATGAAGCATAAATATTTGATAGCTGGAAATATCTTCAGGTGTTTCTTGACGAGGCTTCTATTTTGCTGGATGCAGCTCTGAACCATTCACTACTGCTTTCCACTGAGAATGCTTAAATGGCTCCAATGAATACAAATTACTGCATTCTTCAGATACTAACAACAGCTTTTCATTTTGCAAGATGTGTGGAGCCATGCTTTTTTCAGCTCAATTCAAATGCTTAATATGTAATTAAGAATTTTTTATTCACTTTTAAGGCTGTGTTACATTGGGTATTTGTTGCACTTGGGTTGCCCCTTTATTTTGGCTATGGTGTGATTCCAGTTTTCTGACATAAACCAGACTTCAACTGTTTGATAACCATGCTGTGTAACTGGATCATGGGTTCATCTGTTCCAATGAATACAAAAATATTATGAACAAACTAATGAGCTTACAGCTATTTCTAAGACTTCACTCATCTTCAGTAATAAATTTGTAGCAAAGAATAGAGTGAAATAAACTCTAATAAGGAAGGTGTGTTGAATAAAGAAAGGTGGTGGAATAGTTGACTTCCTTCTTTCCTTCTGGGACTTGTGTTTAAATAGAGGAAATAATGTCTCCCTCTCATCCTGCAGCTGTCTCTGTGCACCTGGACTCCAGCACTGAGTGTCTGGGGAACTGAGGAGGTGGGAGGATTTAGTGTTTCACGTTTTGAAATGGTAGCACTCTGATATTCTCTAAGGAAGGATGCTACCTTTACTCTGCTGTTAATCAGATGGTATTTTTACCCTCTATTACAAGCGCTGTCTCCTAGGTTATAGAAACATCATTTTAAGTATTGATGAGAATGGTGCCGTGTCCTGTGCACAGGTAATGAAGTTTGCTGTGTTTGTGAGCCTTTACTGAAGCAGCGAGAGACTCAGGAGTACTTGTAAAATAGGAGGCAGGGGAGAAGCATTTAACAATGTGGAGATTTAGACATTATAATTCCTGAAGAGTTTTTATTACCAGTTTTCACATCACTTTGTCCCTTTAAAAGTTTGATCCTCCAAAGTGAGGAGGACGTGAATTGCCTTTGGCAATAGAGACATATTTAGGTAAGGGCATATTTTACGCTGTCACCATGTAGCGACTGGTATTATGTTGCTTTGGATACTGTTTGAGTAAGCCTATAAAAATGTCTTCTCCTTTTTGTCTTTTTCCATAGCCCACAAGACGATCAGCAAGATTGTCAGCTGTGAGTATACACTTTTCTAGATATATACGGTTTCTCAGACCAAACAGGCTTGTTATATTTCGCTTGATTCAGTTTTTACTCTTGCTGAGAGGTATTTAAGGACTCTAGAGCTGAAGTCCTCTGTGTTTTCTTGGTTTCAGGCTGTTCTGATAAAAGCTGTATTTTCCCTGCCTCAGTGCACTGCTCTCTGTTCTCTGCAGTATTGACTTTGTACCCTTTTGCAGGCTGGTGTTGGTTGTGGAAATGGAAGAGAAAGAGCTGTCCTTCAGGGGCTTCAGTTGGTGCCACCACCAGTATTTGGGTTTAGTTCCTCTTCTCTGTTAGAACATCTCTGAGTTGTTAATAGTCACTACTAATCTCCACATTTTACTCTTAGAATGAACCCCCACAATGCTTTGACTCTTCAATGAGTGAGCTGATGAAAATGGGTGTGTACAGCGATGAGGTGCATTTGTGCATTAGGATTTTTCAGTCATTTTCTAGGTGCATACTCGTGAGCAGGAAGCAGGGGAAGGTGTGGGCTGGGGGGAGCTGGGGTGTGGAGGTGGCTGCTGGCTGCTGGGGATGTCTTAACGCATCGTGCCACTTAAATATGTTTTATAGAAACCTGCTCCACCAAAACCTGAACCTAAACCAAGGAAAACCACGAAGGTAAATACTCTTTATTTGTAGTTGCCATCATCGTAGCCAGTAGGAAGCAAGTATACTCCTTCTTTGCATTGCAAACACTTCGGTTCACAGTGGTTTTGTGAGGCATCGGCGCCCCTGCCCGCCCCCCCTACCCAGAAAAAACCCGAATGAGATCATTCTTTTCTTTCAGTTCCACCCCTTCCTGGCCTCATTACTGGCCCAAACAAAATGTCTCGCCTGTTTGATATGCAGACCGTGTTAGTTTATAGTGAATTCCTGGTTTAAGAAGAGTCTTTACCTTTCCTACACCTTTCCTGAAACGTACGGGTTTGGTTGGGTGAGCTCCACCTGAGACCAAGCAAGTGCTGCCACAGGATTTGAGATCACTCTGTGCCATCCGGCGTCCTTGGCTGGAGGGGCAGTGCTTCATTCCACAGCGAGAAGCTCTTATCTGTTCTTGAAGCCTGGCTGTTGCTGAGAATGCACAATTATAATTAAAGGTGAAATTAAACATATTTAATTTGAATGGTTTGGGTTTTCTAGGCCAGTTACAGTCAAATTAAAATCTTATTAGTGTCTGAAATACCTTTTCAGGATTTTTGCATATAAATCATGTACTTCAGAAACTGTAGATTTATTTGTGCCCAAGGGGAATGTTAAATAAAGGCAATTGCTTTATCAGAAAAAAAAGCATGCTGGAAACTGAGTCTAACACTCCTCACACTTACATTTTTCAAGTCCTTTTACTGGTATCTCCGTTGGGCAAGTATCAGGATACGACGTCCATATGTGAAAGTAAAACTGTGACTTTGAACACTATGATTTATCAAATGAAATTACCAGTAAAGTCTCGCTGAGTCCATCCTGGTCCCCTCTGAAAGAGTAAGGATGCTGCTGAATGGGGACCACTGGGAGAGGTGGTTCATGACCTCAACATCCCTGCTCACAGCTGCTCTTGCCATTTTACGTGGAATTTGGAGCAAATTGTCCTGTGGAAGATCTCCACGGTGTTTGTCAGAACTACTTTAAATACTGATGTAAAATACCAAATTAAATACTGTTTAATTTGTTAGCCCATTGTACTTAATATCCTTAACCTATGTCTCTGCTAGCCTTAGATCACAAATAGAAATAGGTACATAGAGCAAGGATTACAAAAAAAAAAACCAAAGGTAGACTTCAACACATGAATTGTTTGTTTAAAAACAAACCTCCAAATGCAAGTGTAGCTGTTAGAGTGGGTCCTTTTGGTAAATTCTCTGCTTTGTGTTGCTCCAGATGGATTTTATCAGTGGTTGCCTCCCTGGTGCGGTGGTTGGTTCTTTCATTGACATGGAGTGAACTTCACAAACGTTATCAAATAACAAAAGGACACCCAACAAAAATGCTTAATTTTTAAAATCTAATTTAATATTTCATGTTAATCGGAACTATAGTGCTGTTACACAGCGAGTTGTTTGTGCTTGGCTGAATAAGCCTTCAATGTACTGTAATTGGATTTGTTCTTAGGGATATCTTGTGTGTACCTCCATATATACAGCTCACCTCTACCAAAATAGTTTGAGGAGGTTCTGTATCCCTGCAAATGAGCAGAAACAATAAAGAAGGAGACATCAGCATTTTCTAGGAATTTTGAGAGGTCCTGATGTAACTTTTGTGGATATTCCATGTTTTCCAGATAGGCTTGAGCTGGTTTTCTGTTTCGGTCCAGCACATGCGGCTTGCCAAGACTTGCTTATTAGTTCATACAAAGGTTTTTGGATAAAGGTGTAGGGTGCTGGGCATAGACATTGTGTGAGTAAACAGCCGTGTTTTTAATCTCCCGTCAGAAGGAGCCTGGAACAAAGGCCAACAAAGGTGCTAAAGGGAAGAAGGATGAAAAGCAAGAAGCTGCAAAGGAAGGTACTACACCATCTGAAAATGGTGAAAATAAAGCTGAAGAGGTACTTCCCACACATACCTCCTGCTGATTGAACCAGTGTTTTTTTAATTATTCAGCCTTTCAGACATTGATAGCATGTTCATAATGTTTCTTTTTATTGCCCATGATGTTATTGCAGATTCGCATCTCTCGCCCAACTGTTAGTGTTGCAACATCCAGAGGTGCCCCAGCCAGCACACTGTCAGTAAAAGGGCAGATTGAAAGAGTTAAGGGTACGGTAGCGCACTCATTCAGCATGTGCGCAGTGAATAGGAGCAGGTAGTAGTGTGGTGCTTTTCAGTGCGAGCTGTGGAAGCTGCCAGGTAAGGCTCGTATTGCTTTTGAAAAGCTGGGACCTGTCATTTCAGCCAAGTGTGTGAATGTACCTGTTCTGTTCTGTGTCAGTGTCGTGTGGACACAGGTTTGAAACCGAGCTGTTGCAAATAAGGAGTAGAAGGAGTTAAGGGGTAGTTTGGGTCTTTAGGTATTGGAATGGCCATTTACTATAGTAATTTCTCTCTTTCTTTCTTCTCCACAGGCTCAGAAAACTGAATCTGTAGGTGACAAGAATGAATGAAATATCATGAAAATTTTGGGTTGATTTTATGTACCTCTTGGACAACTTTTAAAAGATATTTTTATCAAGTATTTTGTAAATGCTAATTTTTTTAGGACTATGATAGTTGACATATTAAACTGTATATGAACATTTCCCTTCTCATAACAGTGCTTTTAGAAATTCCCATTGTTGCCAAGTAATATAAATATCAACTTAATATTGCAAGGTATGTGTAAAATCGGATCAGCATTCCATACACTTGCTTTAAGGAATTTAAGTCTTGTGCATATGGTGATGTTTTTACTGTGCGTATTTGAATTTTTCATGCAGTTTTTCTAGAGCAATAATCAGTGGTGCTTTTGTACTTAGAGTTTATGTGATTTTAATGAAACATGGATAGATGTGGCCACCTGCTGACTATTTTGGGTTCTTTTAATGGATTAAAATAAAAGGTCTCCTTGCCTGCAAAACTACAGCCTCCTGATGTTTTGTCTCCATCTGAGGAATGCCTTACTCGTATTTTCAACTGTTACAAGGAAGACTGAGTGATTTGCATGCAGTCTGTTGGCTTTTTTGCTGATGTCTGATGAAAAAATACCCACACGGGAGTAGCAGGCTGGGATTTTCAGTGGCCCCCAACTGAAGGGACGTGCAGATACATTTTCCAGCTATTCAGATACATTGTCACAGGGCGAGTAGAGTTGCCGTGCTCCATCAGGATCTTGTGTCTATAATGAGACATTATAATACATAGACATTATAATGTCTATAACGTGTCTATAATCAGTACAGAATGAATTGCCTCTTTGATAGAGACACACAGTAACTGTTAAAAGTAATGTCGTTTCACCCCCACTCCCTTTTCATCGACTAGAGCAGACTTGTGTCGTACTCTGTGGAAACCTTTCTGTCTGCAGCCTCTAATTTAGTATAAATAGTAACTGCTGTTCTGCTTCAGCTGAGGAGAGTTGTTAATACATTGAAATGGCTGTTAAACAGCACTGTGTATTTGGTACCTGGTAGAAATGGAACCACAAAGGTTATTTTTGAGGTGACTGTGGTGATAGGGTGGATTGGCTGATGATTTGATTTTTTAGTGTCCACGTTTCAACTCTGCAGCGCCTTTTACAAATTTTCTCCCTCTCTTTTCTCTAGGGGACGTGGTATTTCTGTTGTTACTTCTGGGATGGGTGGGGTGAGAGAAAAGATGTTCCCTGATCCTCAGTAGTTCCACATTGATTTGTATTGCTCAAGTGGTGGCCGTTATGGCTGCAGATTCCTTTTGCTTGTTTAAGTCAATAAATAAATGACTGGTGCCTGACCTACCATTCTATTTCTTCTTTGGGAAGAAATCTCCAGTTGCTGTTTTTAATTGAAACAGAAAAAAAGCCACGCCTCTCTTCTTAAAAATTGAAGATTGATTACCAAAACCCATGTACGCTAACTAGAACAGGAGTTAAGACCTGCATGGAGATAACTGCCACTGCTGCTCTGGGGATAGGATTGGCACTGCCAAATAAGAGGAGGAGGCTGTTCTCTGCATCGTGAACATAGTTTTGGAAGAAAGCTTAAACCAAGTCTGTGCTTTCGGGGATTGCAGGCAGAAGCTGTAACAGAACTTGGAGCCTAATGAGAAGAAAAGTCCATGTTGTTACTGAGTGATACGTACTGGGTAGTCCTGCACAGTACTGCTCATTTGTGTCCTGATGGACCCAGCTTAAGTCTGTTAATTTTAGACACTATGGTCACGGGGATTTTAACCATCTGAACCTTTTCACAGCATCATCAAAGTGCTGTTTCTCAGCATTTGTCAATTTATGGGTGTACCGTTCCTATGAGGAGAGGTTTTGTGTGGATAACTGAGAGATCAGTTGCCTAATCCTATCTGGACACTTGGAGTTCTCGATATGACCCTTTTAACTGAAATTTAACTTATAAATGAGCATCACAAGACACTGATGTATCTCTGGACAGGTTTATTTTGGGAGGAAACCTTTTACTAGGTGCCTAAAAGGTAGGCAGAAGTTGGGTTCTTAAACTAATCGTGCAATATCCTAACCTAGTAACTTTGGCACAAAACTCTTTTGTCAGCTTGCCCAGATGAGGAGATTCAGCTCAGGGCCAGGGTTCTGTTAGGAGCATTTAATGACAAACTCACTATCCTGTTCATTGGTTTAACATTTCTGCCTTTTTCAAAAGTGCTTTGTCAGTGTGGTGCTCTCCTGTCCTTTTCCTCTATGCGTCAAGTTTCCAGGGAAATTTGGAAAGCACCGGATCAAGTTCTAGAGCACATTTTTATAAAATTAAGAGTGGTCACACATTCAGACATAGGCAGCTGGAGTCTCTGTCAACAGCTGGTGATCTGCAGAGCACCTTCAGGAAGCGTGTAAGTATTTCGGTTTTGAAATGCTGCATCTCAGCCACGAAGAAACTGGCACCATCGGTATTGAATGGCTGGCTGCTTCCCACGTGAACACGAGGTTTGGATCCCCAGAAGTGGTCTTTGTCCTCTGTGGGATGCAACAGATGGGTAGGTCAAGGTACGTTAAATTTGTATTACTTCTTTTAATGGGCTGTTTTTAAGTTTGAAGAGGGCAGGTACATCAGAAACAAGACCTAATGAATGATCAAAAATAAACCACCCTGGAGTAGGTGAAGGTGCACCTTCCCTGAGCTTTATTTAATTTCTCTGGGTTGTTCTCTACTTCCTGCTGCTTCCCCATCCTTGACTGACCTTGTGCTAATTGCAGGTGTCAGCACAGGGTCACACTGGGTATTTTGTCTCTGAGTGGAGCACCGTGCAGATGAGACACAAGCATTTAAGGGACAGAGCTAATGGAAAACGAATCCTTATGCTAAACAGCAGTGAAAATTAATGTGTTTTGCTACATTGTGCTCAACTCTCAGAAGTTTGAGAGTTATTTGTTCTGTGCATAGCTGCAAAAATAAAGTAGGGAATTTAGCAAGAAAATAAAGATCCCTTATTAGAATAAATAATATATACATATGTAAGAGTTATATTTCTAATAGAATGGGAATTTTTTTTGTATGCTCAATTTTGTGATTTTTTTAATGCAGTCTTAGAAGGGGAAAATAAAATCACTTAAATGTTCAAGGGAGGACATGGTTTAAAATCAAACCAGTTCCACAATCCTAAAGCATACACCATGATGCCAAGCCTCAACAGCCACAACGTTGATCACATTTCTACTGAAGTTATACAAAATGTGTATAACTGAAGAGATTGCACAGCTGAGAAACAAGCGGCCGTGCTGTGCTCTGCAGAGGTGAGGTGGCATCAATTGAGAAAGGGCACAATAATTTGAAATATGGAGGAGTCTCTTCTTGCTTTGGATCTGGCTGCCTTATTGGACCTGTGTTTTGACTGGCACCCTTGTACCTGGAATACTGCTGGGCAGCTGGCCATGGGATTTAAAGTGACAATTTACATGTTAATTTATGTTAATTTATATTAAATAAGTTAGAAAAGTGCTGTATTTGAATCCGAGCACAAAAAGATGTGGGGAGCTGCCTATAAGCAAGTTCAGTGGCAAGAACTCTGTCATAGCCCAACTTGAGGTTTATTATAACTCTTATCTGTAGGAAAATTTGAAGAATACTGCTGGTTAAATGGCTGCATACTCAACAGACAGGAGAAGCACGGAAATGTTCAGTGCCATTATCTTCTTCTAAGGCAAGAATTTTCTACTGCTGCTCTCCGTAATAAACCAACTTTTTGCTTTATTTGGAAACTCTGAACTTACTGTAATGCTGTTACTTGGCCTTGCCAAATTGCCACCAATTGCCTTCTGTAATGTCCAGTTCTGCATTTATAATAAATCAGAATTAAATAATGATGGCTTTCCTGTAGAGAATCGACAAGGTGAGGAGTAAGCTTTTGATGTATATTACTCCTTTTGTGATGAACCATAGCATTAGTAACAAAGTAGTTCATATGGAACAAGCAGAGACCCGCAGGTGTTTGATACAGTAAGATGCTCTCTGTAAGCACCTTCAAAGGGGCGTCAGTGAGTTCTGGTGAAGAATGACTTCACTACATTTCAAATTTGTAGATACCAATTAGTCTCACTTTTTTTTCTAAATGTGAATGGAAACGCATATTTGCATACTTGCTTAGATAAAGGATAAAATTAGTCATTTAAATTCATGCTCCAAAAAACCCAAACTTGAGTGCATGAGGCCATTGTGCTTAATTTTACCACTGCATTTAAGTTGCAGTAGTGTAACTCGTAGGAATCGTTTTATCACTGTTTTGATTCTCATTCAGAAACAAATTTCAGACTTTGGAGCCCATGAAAATGGAATTTGTGTTGGATGGTTTCAGGTACTGAGCCGTCTGAGATGAATCTTCTACTGATGAGCAATTTAATGGAAAGCAATATAATTTAAGATGACAATAAAGAGACTGGAAGTAGTGATCTTGTCAGAGTCCTCGTTCCATTTCTGAAATGAACAGAAAATGTTACTGTAGTTCCTAGAAAATAAAGGTGGTAGAATGAGAACTTCTGTCTTACCCTTAAGCTGGAAGGCCATTCTGAGCTTTAGAAGAATCAGAATAAAATATCATGAGGATCTAATGTCTTCAACCCAAACCCTTCCTAATTTCTGATAACGTTCTGTAAGGAAAGAAGGTGGAAGATGATGTGAGCTCTTAAAATAACACCAAGGGATTCATAACCATAAGACGTTAAACTGATGTGAATGTGTTGGTTACATCTGGGATAATTGAGAATGAGAAAGGGAAGGGTCTGGGGAATTTTTGTGATGTTCACAGCCATTTGAAGACGTCTGCGTTTCAGTCCCTGGAGGGAGCAGTGCTGCTGCTGCTGCGGCAGCTGAGACAACGTCAAGGGCTGGAAATGGCAGAGGGGAAGAGGCCTGACCCGGTAATCTGGGTGCATGGATGTGGAGGAAGAGAGCCCAAAAAAACACCTGAGAAACTGATTTTTCTAGGAATAGGTGCAAGAGAGAAACAGCAAAATGGTTTGCATGTGTAAGCAAGCCTTGAGTGTCACTTGATATCCCCCCACCTCCCAGGTCTTCTGTCAACAGCGCAGGTACTGACTGTACTTCATTATAGCGTTGTCCCCTCTGGCATACGGGTCTGGTAAGTACAAGCTTGTAACTTTATTTTTTTTTTTCTACTTCCTTGAGGGCATTTTTGCACTTAAGGATCAGTTGTACATCAGTGCCAAATCTCCCCCTGTAGGACAGCTACTGGTGGTGGTGATCAACTTCTGCAGTATTGCAGGACGCTCTGCCTGCTTCACCTGCCAAGGGAACACGGCATGTGAAAGTTTAAGGTAATTCTGAGAGGCAGTGTCCAGAACCTGCTTTATTAAAGTTTTACCACATCATATATTACAGTATATATCTATATTACAGTATGATACTCAATTTGAAAATAACCTTTGTGAGTCTCCAGCCAAGCGTGGTGTTCATGGTGAGA